CAATGTATATATATATATATATATATATATATGCACAGGATCTCTCTGTATAATGTTAAGTATTAAAATAAGAAACTAAACCACTATGGAATAAATCTAAATAGTAATAAAATAAAGATTTGGTCATTTTGAACATAATGCCTCAGTGCGTGATGGAGGGCCCCTTGTAAAGCAGCATGTGAGAAAATGGACAAAACCAAATGTTAAAAGAAAGAAAAAAGTGACAAGTAAACTTCATTTGGGGTTCACAATGCCTTCATCGATTCCATAGCCATTTCATAAATTTAACACTGACCCGCAACAATGCTTGAAACTGTCAAATCGACACACGTGCAAGAAAAGGATATAACGGATATGACTGTTATTATGAGGCATTATAAATACCAATTCAAGTAGTTACTAGAAATGTGTAACACTACTCCTGCTACCGCCAAAGCACTGATTTGTGCGGCTTCAGATGACAAACTCAGGGGAAGAGACCCCTAGAAATCTTCACATTAGTTGAACGTATGTAGCACTATCCCCATCCATATCATTCAAGAATGTAATGGCTTTCGCTTTTCACGTAACACATCCTTCTCTAAGACAGTTTTGGATTCGTCAAGTATGGTTAATAACCTTCACACACATTTGTGTTATTAAAAAGGTGGCCATTTCACAGGCAGGCACACTTCAAATTACGGTCAGGTAGCTTGCTACACAAAAGTACTCAAACTATATCTACAGATATAGTCTGTTTTTTTAAAAAAAAAGAAGAAAAAAGTTGACCATATTCATCTAAATAACAGGTGCTGGAGTGATAACGGAATATAAGGAGTGACTGTATATCTGACAAACTGTAACGATTCAAACCGAAAACAAAAACATGAGTAAATATTAAGGACCTGTGGTAAACTGTTCTATCTTATACCGTCTGAGAAGTGAGTAAAATCATTTATTTTTTGCACACCAACATATTTACAAATCAACCCTTTGAGGCCTTTAAATCACAGCATGAATAATGCAAATTATGAGGTAATTTCTGAAATCAGTCGTATTTGAAAAGTGAACAGGGCCGTGATGAAAAAAAAAGAAAAAGTGTCTTATGTTTCTGTTGTGAGAGAAAAATGTACCAAACTGCACAGTCGTCTTTTTTCTTTAAAAGTATATAATATGCTTTGCACCATTTACAAAAAAACCCACCCTTTGATTATCAACCCCACATGAAAGAAAAGCAGATTCTTGTGTGTGTGTGTCTCTCTGTATCTGTTAACGATTAAGGACAAATGATTGAAGAGTCATGACACGGGCTAGTTTTGTCAGTTTTGTCCATTTTACTGGATGCAGGCTCCTTCTATTGAGGTGTATTTGGACCGTTAACCCTCTTGGAGTGATTCACCCTTCATTTCCCAAAGTTGCCAAAGTTTGCAAAGGCATCTTGTTTAGGTTGCACCATGGCGGGGTTCATGCCCTGGCCAATCCCCATGCTGGGCGTGCCCAGGGCACCTTGCAGGCCTATTCCAGCGGGCATCATATTCATGCCCACGAGTCCTTGATTGATAGGCATTCCTCCGATACCCACAGAGCCTATTCCCATGGTGCCCGTCGCCATAGTAGGAGGCATTCCCATGCCCATGGTCCCCCCGGCCATCATGGGGTTCACTCGCGGTCTGGGAGCGGCCGCCGAGGGCTGGGCATTCAGTGTCATTCCGGCGAAATTCTGGGCGACCGTGTTCAATGGTGGCTGGACACCTAAATGAGAAATATATTATAATTACAATATGAATAAATAATACATGCAATTGCTTATGACTGTTGATTACCTCAAAGAACAAACTTTTATCAACTCAAGGCAAGACAATCTGATCTGAATCATGAAGATAATTGTCAGAGTAGAAGTAGATAGTTTGTTTGGGATCTCTAACCTTGCTGCATCATGGTGTTGAGTGTGGGCTGTGTGGGTTTGGAAGGGTTCAGGCCTGCAGACAGGAAATCCAGGCTGATGTTCACGCTTGGGTCTGACCAGGTGGGAGGCATTGATACCTTCCCACCTGACTTTTGTAGTCCCATCTGCTGAGGCAATAACGGGCCGCCTATTGTCTGACAAGGAAGAGGAAATTACGGTAAATGATATCTTATAATTACAACAAAATATACCCTATTAAACTCATACTAATTTCAAATTACAGCACAATTTTTAAAATGATAATATGATGATTCGCAATAATAGAATACTGAACAATACACTGACTGTACTGCAGCACTTTTTAATTTTAATATTTTAGGCGACTCATACTTTTCCTAAAACGAAGTTGGTTGACTTATAATGCCACTCATAATAGGACAAAGCTTGATTAACAACATGTATCCATTTAATTCAACCCATATATGAACTCCAAACTGATTCACCGTGTTATATTCTGTTCCTGACCTGCCAACCATGGGAATATATTTTGAGTGCACTACTTCATTTTCCCACTTATCACCATACCAAGTTATTCAACATATGCATCGGTTGTGAGGACAAAATGCATTCATATATTCTTGAGGCAGGGATGCAAAGTCATCGGGGGTGAAAAAAGTCTCAAAGTTGATCTCTAGGGGTGCACGGGGGCATTCTTCCCCCTTAGAGAAAAATGTGGATTTACAATAGATTTTAGCATGAGACCTCCCTCTACATAACATTCTGTTTAATCATTTAAAAATATATATTTCAGTTGTCTCAAGCCACATTCACACCATTTTCATGAAACTCATTCAATATAACAACAACAACAATAATTATTATTTTATCTACAGAATAAAATTCTGTATCATCTTCTAATAAATATTCTATAATATTTTGTATTTTCTTCTGAATTGAACGGGTTATCAAAAACGAATACATGTAGAAAAAGTTTGAGATGTGGATGCTGCAGGCAAAAGTGGAGACAGATAAACTTGAATTGAGGGGCAGGTTTAAGTAGACTAAGGCCACATATACACTGCAGCTAAATTCACCTTTTAGTGCTTAAAGGGGTCATATGATGCGATTTCATTTTTTCCTTTCTCTTTGTTGAGTGTGGGCTGTGTGGGTTTGGAAGGGTTCAGGCCTGCAGACAGGAAATCCAGGCTGATGTTCACGCTTGGGTCTGACCAGGTGGCAAGCATTGATACCTTCCCACCTGACTTTTGTAGTCCCATCTGCTGAGGCAATAACGGGCCGCCTATTGTCTGACAAGGAAGAGGAAATTACGGTAAATGATATCTTATAATTACAACAAAATATACCCTATTAAACTCATACTAATTTCAAATTACAGCACAATTTTTAAAATGATAATATGATGATTCGCAATAATAGAATACTGAACAATACACTGACTGTACTGCAGCACTTTTTAATTTTAATATTTTAGGCGACTCATACTTTTCCTAAAACGAAGTTGGTTGACTTATAATGCCACTCATAATAGGACAAAGCTTGATTAACAACATGTATCCATTTAATTCAACCCATATATGAACTCCAAACTGATTCACCGTGTTATATTCTGTTCCTGACCTGCCAACCATGGGAATATATTTTGAGTGCACTACTTCATTTTCCCACTTATCACCATACCAAGTTATTCAACATATGCATCGGTTGTGAGGACAAAATGCATTCATATATTCTTGAGGCAGGGATGCAAAGTCATCGGGGGTGAAAAAAGTCTCAAAGTTGATCTCTAGGGGTGCACGGGGGCATTCTTCCCCCTTAGAGAAAAATGTGGATTTACAATAGATTTTAGCATGAGACCTCCCTCTACATAACATTCTGTTTAATCATTTAAAAATATATATTTCAGTTGTCTCAAGCCACATTCACACCATTTTCATGAAACTCATTCAATATAACAACAACAACAATAATTATTATTTTATCTACAGAATAAAATTCTGTATCATCTTCTAATAAATATTCTATAATATTTTGTATTTTCTTCTGAATTGAACGGGTTATCAAAAACGAATACATGTAGAAAAAGTTTGAGATGTGGATGCTGCAGGCAAAAGTGGAGACAGATAAACTTGAATTGAGGGGCAGGTTTAAGTAGACTAAGGCCACATATACACTGCAGCTAAATTCACCTTTTAGTGCTTAAAGGGGTCATATGATGCGATTTCATTTTTTCCTTTCTCTTTAGAGTGTTACAAGCTCTTGATGCATAAAGAAGATCTGTAAAGTTGCAAAGACTAAAGTCTCAAATCCAAAGAGATATTCTTTATAAAGGTTAAGATTTAGCCACACCTACCTTCTGTACTCACACAGTTCAGCAGTTTACAGGAGTAACAACCACATTCTATAACCAAATTAACTCTGAATTACCTGAAAAATTCAGGTAGTGACCGCATTTGCAAAAACAAAAAAAAAGTATCAGAATTGTCTCCTCTTATGAGTGGTGCAAGTAATGACAGGGAACAAGGAACGTCTTAACTCATTAGTGTTGCCAGATCTTGCTAGAAAAAGCAAATAAGAACAAGACCATAATAAACTTAAATTCAAAAGCTGTCTTAAAAAAAAGCCAAAATAGCGCAACCTGCCTATTTTATTAATTGTGTATCATTTAAGTCCAAAGATGCTTTAAAAGCATCACTTAAAACAAGTGAACATAGCAACACTTCATGAACGCGCTCTTCGAAGCAGCCTTCCAAAACACAGAACACTGCTGTTCTAAATTTAAATGCAGATATCACTCCTGAAACTTTGAGGTGTGTGTCTCACCTAAATGCTTGGAGTCCTGCATACGTCATCAGCCAGAAATCTGCCATTTCTCAGGAAGCTCCAGCTACATCATTGTGATTGAACATTGCGTGGTCCAAAAAATAATTAATTTTTTTGTTGACAAAAGTGCAGGTGCACAAATCACACCTACTTTGAGGTAGGTGTGAAAAATGCATGCACGTTGGCGAATCTGCTGTTCTGGGAAGCCTTTCTGACAAACCGAACCCACGTTTACCTGTGATCTGGACAGAGGCGTGGTTGCGTTCTGCGGGCACATGTTGAAGGTCATGCTTTGGGATGCGCTGAGGCTGCTGTTGTTGGGGGTCATCAGGTCAAAGAGGTCAGCGGAAGGCGGGTGGGTGGATGTGGGCACGTCACTGAACAGATCTGGGATGGCAGACGGAGCAGTGACAGCAGGAGGACTGGTGGAGGAGAAGGCGTTCCAGTCACCAAAGTCACCGTTACCAGTAGACAGCGAACCTGAGGAGATTAAATAAATTAGAACCATTATATAAACAAACAAACAAACAAACAAACAAACAAAAAAGAGACGAATACGTACCACTGTTCAAACATTTGGGTCAGTGAGATTTTTTCCCAAGGGAATTAATACTTTTGTTCAGTAAGGATGCATTAAATTGATCAAAAGTGACAAGACTTTAACATCGTTACAAAAAAAAATAAAAAAATCCTGAAAAAATGAAAATCATTTTTCAAATAAACACCATTTATTTAAGGCCATTTCTGCCACTGAATAAAAAATAAAAAAGATCACTGGGACTTTTTATCTAACAATTTTGACATTTTTCTTGCAATTCTGACGTTCTTTTCTCAGAATTGCATTATACAAACTCGTATTGCAAGATATAAGTTCATAATTGCATGATATAAAGTTGCAATTGTATGTTATAAAGTGAGAATTGTACGATATAAATCGCAATTAAGAAAATAGTATTTTTAACTCGCAATTGTTTGTATCTCACAATTCTAAAAAAAAATCATCCGAATTGTGATTAAAATGGTCAATTGCAAGATATAAACTCACAATTACGAAAACAAAAATTCAGAATTGTGAGCATTTCTGACTTGATAACTCGAAATTTCAATTTTATCACACAATTTTGAGGGGAAAAAAAAGTCAAGAACTGCAAGATGTAAAGTCTCAATTACCGTTCCCCCCCCCCCCCCCCCACCCCCACCGCTGAATGGATTCAAAAACGGTAAAACTCAACTGTTTAACTGTAGGGGAGTTGGAAAATGAGCCAATTTTCAAAAATAGTGGAGTGTTCCTTTAAATCCTATTTGAACTCTTAAATACATACATTTAAATTTAAATACATAAATTTGTATTTATGCTTACATACACGTTTATTATTGATTTGTGTTAATTCTCCTACTGACAAGGTTATTGGTTGACTGTTGTGTGGCTGTTCTTGAGGACTTCTAACTGTACACACACACACTGCTCTTAAGGAGTGCATCTCTGTCAGGGGAGATGGGGCATAGATGATGGGAGCTGACGTGTGTCTGAGCTCATAACACTCAGCAGGTAGCAGCTCCATCTGGACCCCTCAGTCACTCATCAATATTTCACTGTGTCGTGTGTTGCTACTCCAATCATATTTCAGACAAGCCAACAGAATTGTCATCCTCCTGCCCACCTGCAAAGTGCAACTCGCTCTACATTGAGCCGAGGCCAAGACAGGGAAGAGGATGATGGGAAAAGTCAATGCAAGCACGCCCATTTCTCTCTGTAAAGTGGAATAAGTGTCGAATAGCTGTGATAACTATCTAAATGCTCAGTTAGGACAAACTCTGCAGATGCTACGTTTAAAATTACTCTCCACACCACAAAATGAGAAAAAAATTGCCGAATAAATAATCATATCAATTGGACACAAACATCAACTAAAGAAAAGCTTAATAACTGCAGCACTTCTGGGCCCTAAAAAAAAAAAAATCGGTTTTATTTATTTTTTATTCCCCAAATTGTGTTTGTTATTACATTTACATTTTAGTATTCAAAAAGCATGCATAACCAACTGTGAAAATGAAACTTATACAATTTATTACAAGTTTAACAAAAATTACATTTTTAGAGCCTAATTAAATCTATTTTAATTTTTCCCAAATTTCATTTTATTTTCCCAAATTCATTTTTTTTGGATTATGTTTTAATTGTTTTATTAAACTTTAACAATCAAAGCATGTCTAATCAACCGAATGAATACAACTATATATATATATATATATTTTTTTTTTACAATAATAGACTGAAATGTTTAATCTTTTAAAAAAAAATTCTGTGTTGTCTGTTTGAATTTTTCTGGATTTAGAATTTAACACAAATTTATTATCAAAAATGGTGGTAACCAAATGAAGGCATAAAACATTAACAATGGAATTTAACTTATAAAATAGAATTAAATTAAACAATTACTCTTATTTTTATAGCAAACACAGTGCATTGCTAAAATGAAAACATAGAAGAAATTTTTTTTTATTTCTTTAAAAAAAAATTAAAAAGTCAAAAAAATGTAAAAGTTAATTTTACTACTTTGAGAAATTAATTCTACTGTACAATAGTAATAAAAAGTACCTGTGTCAAAATTTCTAATTAAACCAAACTATTTAATGCGTTGTTGTGAAGACCTTTGAGTTTCTTTGTGTATCTGATAATAGTTGTATCAAATCAAATGGTGAAAAGCTCATGAAGTGACTCTCAGAGCAGCTCTGGAGATGAAGTTTGTATCATGTCCTCATATAGTGGGAAGGCAGACACTAAACCATGAGCGTCACACGTGCTTGAGTAGTGCGTAGTAGAAGACAAAACTGCACCATTAATTCACACAGACACACAGAACATGCAGACTTTATATTTAAATAGGAAAACAACTTTTACTTGAAATGAAACATTTACCATCAAAGTTTTTATTATTATTATTATTATTACTCTAGAACTGTTTCTCCAAAAACATTTTCCCTGATATCAAGAGAACTGAAGATATGGGTTTAAAACCCTTGAATTAGGACAATGCTTCACTGACAGGTGATATTACATGTACTTGTGGTAATGCTTTACCATGAAAAATGCAGAGTGAGACATTTACAGTTTGCAAGATATTGTCAGATGAGGTAAAAACATAGTTTTGGCCCATGTGCAGGTGGTTCACACATACCAGCAGCTGACGGGAGACTGACAGAGGCAGCAGGTGAGGAGAAGTCGGCAAAGTCACCAATCAGATCGGAGTTTCCACCTGCAAAACATTAAGATGAGACATATATAGTCTTTATAATGCAACTATACATAGCTTACAATACAAGTTCAAAAATATGGGGTAGGTAAGGTTTTTAATGGATCAATTATTCACCCTTGCTGAAAAGAAAATTCACACCAGAAAAATATGTTTTATATCCAAAATTATAATCTTTTTTTTTTTCTACTGTGATGACAACAGAGAAGGACCAACTGATCTGGATGTGTAACTAAAATTCAGATGCACAGACAAACACACGTGTCCATCCACATACACTCAATTAGGCTGTCAGAACCTGGGTGCAACAGCTCTGGACCTCCTGACTGATGCGAGCGGACACAGCACAGCTGTTGGGCTGCTGACAGGATACGGAGGGACAGCAGCATCTGTGCACCCATCTCCTATTCGTTCTTTCTCTCTCTCACACAACTCACACCCATCTGGGGCACTTAGATGTCTCTAAAGAACTTCCATGAGTATGGCTTTAAAAGCTACATCAACTTCCAGGAAAAAGTTTCTGCCTGAGTCCCTGCATCCCGGACGAGCCCCCAAATTCTGTTACGTTCCCAATTAGTCTAGGGTTAGAGGAACAGGTAACAGAATAAAACGGTGATGTGTTGAGGCAGCAAGGTTCAATTCCCAACCCCAGAGCTTTAAATGGGTCATATGATGCTACTAAAAAGAACATTATTTTGTGTATTTGGTGTAATGAAATGTGTTCATGCGGTTTAAAGTTAAAAAAAACAAATTATTTTCCACATACTGTACATTATTGTTTCTCCTCTATGCCCTAAAAAGGTGATGTGTTGAGGCAGCAAGGTTCAATTCCCAACCCCAGAGCTTTAAATGGGTCATATGATGCTGCTAAAAAGAACATTATTTTGTAACAAACATAAACCCTCCAACTATTTGGGAGAAACTAACTAAGCTAGAACAAAGAAAAGAAAACAAAAATACAATAGAAATAAACTACCTCCCCTAACTAGCATAAACAGGAGAAAAACAAGATAAAGAAAATGGCACCCACCTCTCTACTAACACATTCCCAATAAATTAACAATGTAAGTTTAATAGATAACAAACAATAACATAAGTAGAGGCAAACAAATAGTAACTTCCAAAACAAACCAGATTTCTTGTCGTAGGCATCAATTACCACAAGAGTGTTAACACAATAACACTGTAAGATAAAGAAAATGGCACCCACCTCTCTACTAACACATCCCCAATAAATTAACAATATAAGCTTAATAGGTAACAAACAATAACATAAGTAGGGGCAAACAAATAATAACTTCCAAAACAAACCAGATTTCTTGTCGTAGGCATCAATTACCACAAGAGTGTTAACACAATAACACTGTAAAGAAATCATTCAACAAAGTATTAACCAAAACAACTAATAAAGCTTTTTGGGTTGAGAATAGAAGCCTCACGACACAGCCTCCACACACACTTTGCGCTGTGCAATGGTGCTGCTTAAATCCTCACGACTTCCCCTCCTCCTGCAATCACATCAGATCACCAATCATTGGAATCAGGTGGCAGCCATTACCTCCTGCTTATGGGAAGTAAAAGGGATAGAGAGAGAAACAGGGAGAAAACAAACAAACAAAAAAAACAAATACGTCCTTGGACGTAACAGGCTCAAAAATGAACAATAACCAAGTAGCAAACGTTATACGCTCCAACCACATTGAGCTGTGGTGTCCATACAGGAGGTGTGGGGGTTCGAACTGGTTTGTGAGTGGTGTTCAAACCCTAAGTATAAGCAATAGTAACAGTGATGCTCAGCAAAAAAAGTACTCGTTGAAATGTGGAAAATGCAGCTGATGGGGTCTTACCTGAAGACACTGGTTGACCAGAGCCAGAGTCCACCATCAACAGATCTGCAAGCCCTGTGCTGGATGACTGACTCACTGATGTCTGAAAAGAAAATGAAGAATGTCACATTTCACTTCTACCACATGAAGGCAGCACAGGCTTCCTTTTGCAACCCTAATCACTTCATTGAGAGCACTGTAGAGGTGCACTCAGGTGTTTTTGTTTAGAATGTGCAGGATCTTTTTTTAATTGCAGTGACTTTGCTTTAACGCATTTTGCAGGTTCTATATAAAAATGTATGTGAACTGCTTCATTTATATCTTATTTATTATTATTATTATACAATAAATTAATTTAAAATGATGGGAAAGGATACATGCTTAAAATTATTACAATTAATTCTTATTTGTGACCCTGGACCACAAAACCAGTCATAAAGTTCATTTTTTGAAATTGGGATTTATACATCATCTGAAAGTTGAATAAATAAGCTTTCCATTGATGTATGGTTTGTTAGGATATGATAATATTTGGCCGAGATACAACTATCTGAAAATCTTGAAACTGAGGGTGCAAAAAAAAAAATCTAAATATTGAGAAAATCGCCTTTAAAGTTGTCTAAATGAAGTCCTTAGCAATGCATATTACTAATCAAAATTAAGTTTTGATATATTTACGGTAGGAAATTTACAAAATATCTTCATAGAACATGATCTTTACTTATTATCCTAATGATTTTTGGCATAAAAAAAATCGATAATTTTGACCCATACAATGTATTTTTGGCTATTGCTACAAACATACCTGTGCGACTTATGACTGGTTTATAAATTCTGTGTAAACACGTCGTCATTTTTTCTATGTAAAAATAGATTTAAATTGCTTGATTTATAGATTTTATTATTGTTATTACTATTATTATTATGATAAATGCAAATGAATATTTATAAAGTATATAACTAAAATATAACACCAATATATTATAAATGATTCGAATGATGGGAAATGATTCATGCTTAAAATTACTCAAATTAAATGAATGCTTTTTCACAATATTTTAAAAAATGTTTCTTCTCCTTCTTCTATCATCATTATTATCATCACAGTTATTATTATTTGTTACACAACATATTAAATTATTAAAATGATGGCCAATGATACATGCTTAAAATGATTCAAATTAAATTAATTCCCATTTCACAATAGTTAAACATTTTATATATTTATTTATGTATTTATTTATGTTAAATACGTTGAAGCTACAATTAGATAGTGGAACTGACATTACTGCAGTTATTGGTCAATTACAATCGCCAAATGGGCAAATATTAACCTGGCTATTTCAGCACCGCAGCCATCCATTTAATAATGCACCATTTACAGCAGGATGAATTTGGATGAAGGCAGTATTTTACCTGGTTGTTGTCAGCATCTGGACTGCTTTTGCTGCCAGTGTAATGAGCGGCTGCGCCCAGGTCGACCGTTTTGGACGGGACTCCGCCGCGTTTGCGTGTAGAGGTGGTGGTAGTGGTGGTGGAGGTGATTGCATCTGTGGTCTGTGTGATCTGGACGTTCTTGGTTGTTACGGTCTCCTCGTCATCCTTAAACTCCGACTTTGCAGGACGACCGTTCTTTGAAACTCTGTCCTCCTCATTGTCACTGCAGGAAGAGGCAACAGTAAGACAAAAAATAATACAGTAGCTACCGCTACTTCAGTTTCATAGCTTTTCATTCTATGGCGACTGAAGACTCAGTCATGTACCTGATACGATCTGGCGAGTCATCCCTCTCCTTCTTGCGGAATTTGTTGATGGTGTCATCAATGGTGCTTCCAATTTTGTCACTTATCTCCCCAAGTTTTTCACTGAATGGGAAGCTGCTCTTGTTTTTGTCCCAGTCCTCGTCCCATTTGCTTTTAGATTCGGAGTCAAACTGTTCTCCCGCTGAAAATGTGGATACAGAATTAGTTAGGTGCTTAATTTGTTTCAGATATTTAAAGCTTCAGATTGAAATTCATGAAAGGCCTGTTCACACCGGGGAAGATAACTATAATGATAACTATAAAGTTTTATTCATTGTTCTAATTCTATGAGAATAGCAAGGTCCAACTATAATAACAATGGCACTTTCAAAACGATTTTTCCAGCTGATGAATGATAAAAACATTGACAGTCGATTAAAATCCATTCTGCTTCAAAAAGCTTGAGCACTTAAAGCAGTAGACGACATAACTGCAGCATGCTTCTATTATTGTGTGTAGGTGTGGGAGCTAATGTAGTTATCTTTATAGTTATCATTCTTGGTGTGAATGAGTCATTGTAAGTTAGATATTTATTGCCTAAAGACAAAGCATTAACTGCAGCACATGAAGATATTTAGGATATTTAAGTATATTTAACTTTTTTTTAATTACCTCAAATGTGATCAAACTGAATTTAAGAAATTTTTTGCCTGCTTGATGAACTTGCACACAAATGCACTTCAAACTTTGAAACGCATGGAAAATACACCTGACTAAAAACTCAACAAACTTAAAGTATAACTTAAAATCCACATTTTTTTATCTTTCTCCATCAAAACAAATCCATCATTGGCATGCCATCATTAATTGGCAATTTGAAAGTGTAGTACAGCTAATAAAGGGAGAAATCTGAGCAGCAAATCAAAGCAGAAACCAAGCACAATCTTTTGACTTTGCACACAAGTCACATCCCTAATGGCATGACAAGGGACGTGGCATCTTGACTTGATTAGACAGCTCTAAGAGAAAACATGTAATACAAAAAGCAGAGATCTGATTATTACTTCTAACCTGATCATAAAGATCAACAAATGATGCAGTGAGCAAAGTTGAAAAAGTGATAGCCCTGAAATCAAAACAGCTCTAATCAAAAGATCAGTCGTGGGAAGAAGGGAATCCAGGGGGAATTTTCCTCACTATGCGAAAAAACTTCAGAGGGCCTAAAACAAATCCCTGTGGGACGTCTACAGTATACAGACAAAGCAGCTCACTTTTGGGGTCAATCACAGTTTTAAGAGATGAAAATAATGCCTCAAAATGACCTGTGACCACAGGGAATTTCTTGGTTTATTTGATTACAAATTAACCCACTGGAACAACCACCACAAAATCATAATACAATTAGGAAATAATAATTAAAAAAAAGCACCTGACAGAAAGTACTATTATATGAACTCCTCCTGAGAGCATCACCAATCTATCTCTCTCTTTTCATTGGTTAACATCCAATTTCTACATAACATGCTTTACTGTCTCAGAATTGTTTGCTTGGGAAATATTAGTATACTGATATTAATTTAGAGCAGATTATTTTGGCATGCATTTGCACCAAGTATACTGGTGTAAGAATTATACTGATATTAATTTAGAGCAGATTATTTTGGCATGCATTTGCACCAAGTATACTGGTGTAAGAAGTTGTCAGACTGTTAAGTCATGAATGACGCAGGCATAACCAGTTTGGCAGACATATCTTTTTGCCCATATTCCAGGAAGGCCGCAAATAACATTTATCACGTTTTTTTAGGTTTGCACGAGTTTGGGGCACAACAATCTGTTTGTCCAACCAACAGCAGACAGCAAAATGTCTGTGAAACCTGTTTGGAAAATGTCTGATAAACAGTCGCCATTCCATTTAGTGGCTACAGAAATCATCCACTTTCAAATTTAGAAATACTCAAATTTGCTACATTTGATCACTTACAGTTACTCTGTTTGAAGCCTCCCATGCTGTCAGAAGATACTCCAATGTATTTGTCTTTATTCTTCTTGGCTTTCTTCCTCTCCTCACGTAACCGGTCATCATCCTGAACAAACTCTACCATTTCTTTAACCTTCTGCCGTACATTAATGCCCTGGTCCTTACCATTTTCATCTAGCAAAATAGAAAAGAGAATGTCAAGTCATAAGGATCTGTTTGGCCCATTTAATCTGGTTTCTGCAAACCTCCATTGGATACAGAAAGAAAAAAACATAAAATGCTGGAATGTGACCCCACACAAAAAGTTCAGTAGTTAAAATTTTATCAGATAAGATGATGCCGTAGTCAACTTTTCTCTGTTGGTAATGCCAGAACTTTGCTATTGAGATTTACTGCATGGATGTAGTAAATGATTTCTCCTAATTAAACATTTATTGAACACAAATTCAGAAACACAATGGTGTGAAGGCAAATCTTTTGGGTTGAATACCGAAATGAAGCCAAAGCTACTATTGTGCTAATGTTCATGAATTGTCTCAGTAGATGACTGAAAATGTGTGTGAAATGATGAAAATTTAAACAGAATCTCTTTTGAAAACCACAGATTCTTTGAAACATATTTAGAACAAGGCACAGAGCTTTAAATAGCTACAAAAAGGAAACAGACACCAACACCTCTAGCACGGACTATGAAGTTGTCATTTTTGTTCCTGCTCTATCCTTCACTTATCACACAAATGTAGCTTAAAAATATAGTGCCTTCAGAAAGAATTTACCACTTTTATTTTAAAGACTTTTTGTTACATCTCCAAATTTTAACAGACAAAACCTCTTGTTTCTCCATAATGAAATATTAACATTTCTCTTGTACAAATAAGCTTTTCAGGTCTTCCTGTCAGAGAGCAACCCAAGAGCATGAGGCTATGTCCAGTATGCTTGACACCTGGGAAAGTGTTACTTGGGTATATTTGAGTTTTGATAAACAAATCAATGTTTTGGCCAAAAAGCTCAAATTTAATTTCTTCATATCACACTCTGCAACAGTATCAAAATACTTGTTTGCTCATATTTGCCCTTTTGCACACTGCTTGAACAAAGATTTTTTTTAAAAGCTTTTAACCTTTTCTTTTTAAAAAGCAATTAATCATATTCTCTGCATTAACATAAATTATCTTCAACCTGCTGAAATGTTCCTATAAATTTATTTACCTTCCAAACCGGCATTCTGAATAATAAATATATTTCCCAACTGCCGAGGTCCACCGCTTGTCTTCTCATTACATTTTATACCTGTTGAATTTACAGTTTGACTGATAAACACCGTTACAAAAATTAAAGCTGCAGTCCGTAAGTTTTGCCTCTTTGTCGCCATCTCTGTTTGAAAACCTGGAATTGCATGGTTTTACTATGGTAAAAGTGTAGTAACCTTTTTTTACCGTTATTTTTTTTTTTTGCAGATTACCATTTGTATAACCACAATTTTACTACAAATACCATGGTTAAACTATGGTTAGTTTAGAAAAACTCAGGTTAATTTGTGGTTACTAATACTATGGTTTAACTACAATTTTTTTGGTTTTATTTGTTGTAAAACCATGATTAAACTTTTTTCCCTGTCATTCCATTTTATTACACAACTTAATTTCTGAAATTATTTATTTTGTTTTATTTGTATGTATGGATTACTTGGGCTGTTATCAACATCTGGTGAAATTTCATGTCAACAGCATCTTTAGAAATACATTTACTGAGAAAAATGGTGATGCGTTCAATACTTATTTTGCCCGCTGTATATAGGCACGGCCAATGAATTGGCCAATATCTGGACTTTGACTAAACATTGTGTAAATGAAGCATACACTTATTTCAGCAATTGTCTCATTTGAAGGTGAAAATATGATGCAAGATGAGCAGTGCACTGTACCTTGTAAACTCTTCTCCAATTCTTCTTGTTGTCTTTCAGCATTCTAGTCCAAAGCATGTTCATAACTTCAGGGAACTGCTCGTACATAAATGTGGATCTGCAGTAAGGTAGATTAGTCACATTATGTACAATGACTTTATACTAAACGGATAAAGTTTTTAAACCTTGTATTATGTTAATTGATCAGGTATGACGATTTAGGAATGTATTAACAATCAGAACACAAAAACTACTTCCAATAGGAATATAAGGTTTTGTAACCAGTTGTATAATATGGCATGTTTTTCAACCTGTCAAAAAACAGGAATTAATACCACTGACAAACTAATCAGCTTTAAAGATATTTGTATATTTTCCCAAAATTTGTAGTCTTTTTTTTTAATGATATTATTGGTTATTTTTGTGTTTCTTATGAAAAATGTGTTGGTAGTACTAACACAGGGTTTCTCTATCAGGGTTTAGCATATTAAAATACTGCCTAACCCTGATTGTTTACAGTAATTTAACACAAGACACTAAATTCATGTAAAAACGACATGAGGATGTAATGACTAAACTTTCAGATGATCTCAAGTCTAAGGCATTATGCAAAGCAACTGTAATCATCAGCTATCAATGATGAGATAATTCTGAAGTAATTGCCCTACACAAATGTTCTGTGGTAGTTGAGAGTAGAGTCAGTGAATGCCTGAAGACTGAAAGGGAGCACGTAGTCCTCTTACCACCCAGCAGGCTGAGCACTTACTTGGCAATCTCACCCATGAGCTGACCCGATGGGCCCCAGGAGTCATCATTGGTGGCTTCTCGAACCTTGGACTCTATCTCGGAGTAGTTCATCACAACATTGGTGCTGGGAAACAGTGAAAAACAAAGAACCACAAATAAACACCAGGCAACCACACACAGACACACAAGTCCATTTATTGTTACACATGGAGGTGTTGAAATAAAAAAAACTCTCTCGAGCCGGTCAGCTTTGGTCGACTGGTGTGTATTTTGGACTGATAG